AAGAGAGGTGGAAGAAAGTCTCTTACGTCCCGACAGATGTCCTTCCCGTACATCTGCAGAAAGGTGATCATCCACTTCCCAGCTGCACGCACGCGCATTCCTTTGCCTTTCCGCAAGGTCTCCTTGATGGCCATCAGGAAGTCAACGGTGCGTTCCAGGGGGAAGTTTCTGCACACCATCTGCAGAGAAAAGAGAAGAGGAGAGATCTCATCACTGCTCTGCGGCAGCTCTTCAAAACAGAAAGCAGTCTGGAGGGCGTTCTTAGCTCAGCAGCTTGCCGCTCATTCAGGGGCAATCACAACGCTCCTGCTCTCCTACCCTGCTATTTATACGGAAGGCGGTTGAGCCTTCTCTCAGCTGCTCCACCCATGGTGTTTGCTTACATGCAAAGCTTACCTAGCAGCCACAGTCACACACACACACAGACACACCATGGAATCAGCTCCTTGCAGCTGCCTGAAGGGCAGACATAGCTCAGAGCCTCCTGCTACTTGCTGAGAAAAGAGGTCTCAGGGTGACAGCTCATTTTGGAAATGGTATGAAAGGCTGGGGACAGCCTAGGGTCGTGCAGAAGCCTACGCACTGAGATGCCACCACCCCTTTTTGGGTCCACTTACCCTTGCCAGTTTGGATGAGGTCTGGAGCTGAGCAGCGGTGCTGCAGTCATTCAGCCCCTCACACAGGCTCCCAGTGTCTCCTGTCTCGATGACTCTGTTGGCCGCCTTGGCTGGAAAGAGCACGGGAGAAAAGGGAAGTCATGCTTCTAGAAACGGAACTGCTTTCCATGGGGGAGAGACTGAGGACAGGGTGGGGACAAGAAGAGAGCTGTGCACAGTGCATCTCCCTCCTGTACACAGGGCCCAGCCCATGGGGCTCTGGTAGCGCTGCGGAGGAGAGCACAGGGCTGGTGCATCCCGCTCTACTCACCTTGGATTTGCAGAAGGGAGCTCAGGCAGGTGGCGGCCAACTGGCGGGATGTGGGCATGGGGTCACATGTCAGCGGAGCCAGCAATCCCACCAAGGAGCCAAAGGACTCACAGGCATCTCCTCTCTGCAGGGATGAGGGGCGGGAACAAAGCTGTAGGCAGCCCCAGCTCTCCCTAGCTTCTCCTGCCCGTGCCTTCCCCATGCCAGCATGCACAGCTGGGCGGAGCTCGCCTTCCAGCTCAGGGGCACTGGGGAGGGAGCAGGGAGCATGCAGTGGGGCTTTTTACTCACCGGAAGCCCTTCACAAGCAGCCAGCAGCTGGGAGCAGGTCTGCAGGGCCCTGTTACGCTCCCACATGTTGTTTGAGGTCAGTGATCTCTGCAGGACCTGAAGCAGAGCATGTCTCACCATGGACATTTTTCCCTTCCTGCCATCCCTCTCCCTGTCCCTCTTTTCCCAACAGTTTCCCTCAGGTCCTGCCCTGTGGCTCCACGTGGACCCCCGCCTCACTGTGCGCTGACACTGCTGCTCCCATTTTCTGCAGATACTGCTGCCTCCTAACCCAGGAGCTTTTCCTCGGCTGGGCCCTGCCAGGGGCTGGCTCCTGCCTTTCTCCTGCAGAGCCCATTTCTCTGCCCATTTCTCAGCTCGCAGTGAGCTGGCCTGTTAGCAGGAGATTTCTCCCCCTTCGATCATACTCTCTGTCCCCAGATCTCTGTCCCTGCTATCAACGGGCACCATGCTTCCTCCCTTGCCCCACACGTACTCACCTGGACTATGTTCTGGAAGAATCCCCGGGTGGTCTCTGTCTCAAGCAGGACCACCATGAGCCGGCCCAGAGCTTTCAATGATGTCTGCAGAAGCTGAAAGCAGGAGAGGGGATTGAGGTGTGGCATCACGGCTGCTGCCGGAGCATAGGCCGTGTGTGCTGAGGTAGGGCTCTGACGCAGAGGTGGCCGGGAAAGTTACGGCAGGTTACCTGCAGGTACTGTGCTGCTTGCTGTGACTTCTTGATCTTCAGCATCATCTCTGCTGAAGGGTGTGACACAATGTTCTTGCAGCACAGAGCCAACATTTCACGTGCATCCTTGCTTCCTAAAGAGGGCTTCAGCTTGCTGACAGGAGGAAAAAAAAGGAAGAGAAAGCAGAAAGGGCCTTTACCACTGCTCTCCAGACTGGTGCAGACAATGTCTGAGATTCTCCCAATCAACAGCTGCAAAGCCAACACCTCCAGCCTGTGCTGCTGGAGCAGCGCCCACCTCCTCCCTGGCAGCAGTGAACCACTTCCCGCTCTGAAGGGAAGAAGGCCCCAGGTCTCCCTTCTCTTCCTTGCCTGGGGACAGCAGTACCAGGCCTTTCTCCCTGCCCAGAATCTCAGCTTCACTGGCCACAACAGCCCAGCCGTCTCTCCTGTAGATGCAGCTCCTTCCCCCCTCCCCCCTCCAGGCCTTCGGAAGCTACCCTAAAGGGGGACCACCATCTGCCTTGCAAGCCTAGAGGCTCCCACCCTTACCTCAACTGCTCCAGGGCCAGAATCACCTTGAGGGGCACTGGGGAGACAGGGGTGCCCAAGTAATACTTCTTCAGCAAGTCCTGCAAGTACCAGAGAAACATTATCAAAGTGGGCAAGGGCCACGAGAGAGCTCTTCTGCCTGGCCCACAGACAGAAACAACTGCCACACACCAGCCCCATCGTTCCCACATTTCCCATGCAAGCACTGCAGGATGCAGCAGCTCCACAGCTGGTGGACCTAGCCTGCTGCCTGCTGCTGCCTGCTGCTGCCTGCCAGCACCCAAGGTCCCCACCAGCTGGAGACGTGTGGCTGAGGGAGACCTGCATGGCTCCAGGGATGGCAGCCTCGTGGCACAGCCCGGAACTCCTCCACAGAGAGCCCTGGCTCTAGGCACTCACCATCAGGATCTCCAGCAGCTTGCTCTTCAAGGAGGGGTTAAAGAATGCGGAGCCACCCACAGCATGGACGGCAGAGCTGAAATCAGTGATGCTTTGCACCAGCGCGAGCTTGTTCTGCAAGTCCTGAGGCCAAGAGAGAAGAACATTCTTGGAACTGTGGGAAGGGCTGGGGGCTGTCAAGGGGACACATGGGGCAACGCTAAGGGAAGGGCTTGGATCTTCATCTGGGCACAAACCGTTCCCCAACGGGCCTTTGGAAAGAGAAGGCCCATCTCAGCATCCCCCCACGTGGAGGGGCTGCAGCTGGGCGCTCTGACACCCTGGCAGACTTCGAGCTGTCACCTGGCAGCTGCAGCTGTACAGCAGCAGGATGTTGCCCACAATGTCTCCCTCCAGGCGGGCGAGCAGCTGCTCCTTGGAGGCTTGCAGTGCCAAGCTGCCATGGGCGAGGATGAGAGCGCTGCGTGTAGCCTGAGCTCTCGCGCTGTCCAGCTCCATCTGTGTGAGGAGAAATGCCTTGAGACACTCGC